ATAGTTCTCCAATATCGTTTCAGTCTGTGAACGAATGTAATGGAAATTAAATAAAGTACAATTTAGCGGTAAACTTGACGTAGACCTCAATTTAGATGGCGTTTTTAAATTGGCAAATGATTTTATTTGCTGATTTACGTTAAAATTGATTAATGATCATGGTTATTGAATATTTAAATTTGTTTAATTGTTCAATAATAATTGATTAAACTAGGTTCCATTTCTTTTATCCATTCCACGTTTTTCGATACCTCATGACCTTATCGCTCAAAAAAGTTTAAATGAATTCCTGCCCTCAGTTATATCCGACTACATGCGCTCAAACAGACCCTCTATTTGGTTACAGTGCCAGGATTCCAACCCCTTACAAGTAAATCTTCATAAGAATATAATCGATTGCAACATAATTTAAATAATTACTTGCACTTTTGGCTGCAAGACTACAAGTTTTGGAGATGATTTTTTTATTCGATTCGTAAGAATCTTCACATCATCGACGAGTCCATTACTACTTATTTCCACTACAGATATGAGGCAGTACTCGTGTGTGGGGTGAAACCTATAACGAATGAGGTTTGCACAAAATTTTCACAATAGGGTATGATCTCGTATATCTACTGTATTTTCAATTAATCGATTCAAACGTGATAATTACTCCAGCAAAGGCAACGACATATCCGAAAAGATATGATCTTAAAAGTTTTGATTTATTAATGTAAACTATTGATTCAAATATTTCCAGTGACCTGTTATCTGGTTGCAGTATCTGAATATTGACAATGACAATGTTAAGTTTGATGCCACCGGAAGGAATTGTAGGGAATTGTAGCCTGGCTTATAACAGCTCATCATCGGTCAAGGAGGCATAGCATTGACGTGACGTGAAGGTGCCGTGGCATGGCGAACAGGACGGAAGTCAGAAGCGCGGTGACAGCATCTTTCTTTGCCGAGAAATGAGTAATGTTCCATATACGCTTCAACCGTAAGCTAACTGACTGACTTGGTTCATTCGATGAGGTGCTATCTTCAGTAATTGCCAAGTAACTATAGATGCAGAATTGGGATGCAACAGATAACCTGAAGTTATTTAATGCCCAGTGCTTGTACGTAATTGATGAGATTAAGGGGAAAAGTATACATGACTGAGAAAAATTTATTGAATAGTAAGAAGTTAAACTGCATTTGAAAAAAGGCGAAAGACTTAATATTTGAATTGCATATTATGTAGTAATATTTGTACAATGGCGAGATCGGTTTGCACTAATCCTTATACATAAACATAATTTATTAATCGATTTTGTCATAAGTCTGAGCAGAATTCACATTTTTTTAAGCTGCCATGAAAAATACAGGATAATCAAATATATCAAATACTGATCGAAATTTAAATATATTTTAAAATATTTGAATTCATTTGAATATATACTTTATTTATCCGCTCGCACCTGCTAAGTTTCAACTTCAAATAGTTATAAGCTGAGTAAATCATAAATAAAATAAATAAGTCAAGTAAGTCAATTTAATACATCAATTTAATAGTCCAACTCCCTATAGATGCAAAATGCAAAATTATGCAAAAATCAGCATAAAGCTGTCGCAAACAAAAAAGATCGACAATGACGCGAGATTCACGCAAAATAAGAGACACCGAATCAGGTTTATAAGAATATAATGGAAGAGACTTAATATAACTGATGAAGTAAGAAGCTACGCAAGCCATTGATTCGAAGATGGCACGTAACACAACAATACAGATTTGATTGATATAGCCGACACCACTCGGGACTGTGATCAACTACCGTTAGAAGTTCATGCAACCCCTGATTTGAATGTCCCCTACACCACCTAAAATAATCTGTCGCAAGTTTCGCTCGATTAATTTTATTTAGAGGCCATAAAACCCATATAAATAATTATCAGTGAACAATCAAGGTTTTCACGTGTTTCTGATCCAAGCAGCTTCTGATAGGCACCATCTCGCTAGTTATTTCGATCGTTGTTAAGAATCTCATTTGTAATTATGATTTGTGTCGCACGGAAGACTAATGATAATGGAGTTTTAGCAGAGGCGACGCAAAACTACGGCGCGTGAGTTTTCGTGCAGGAGCTTCTGAGAAAAAATCTCGGTGTCATTTCTTGGTAATTTCTGTATGGCATCCGCCTAGGCGACGCCTACGCCAAACTGTAACCATGTAGGCACAGGTTATTTATATATACTATAATATTATTTCAGTTCGGTTGTCTGAAAGCAATAAAAAATGTTTGTATCGTTGACTTTAGAAAACTTAATTTTTTGTCTACTGTCAGCTGCATTTATCCGGAAAAGGATTTCTATATACATCAAATTGTCATTTCGCATAAAATGAATTTAATTGTGTATTTATCGTTATACGTGGAATTGAACTTTAACGGTAATTAATATATGGGAACATAGGATCTTTGGAATCAGGCTTGCTTTTCAAGATGGGGTTTTTCTGGACAAATTCGAAGATTTTTTTTATTATTATTCCGTTGGCCGGCAAAAATCAATAATGGCCAAAAACGTATTGGATTTTTCAGCGTTTAAAAATTCTGAAAATTTTATATGTCGTACCGCTAATTTCAAATTTACTTACAAATGTTGAATTTTGTCTACTTCAGGGCCATGTTGGATTTGGCCGTTTTTTTTTTTTGCCAGACGGTGCCATGAGATATGAGGCCAAATCCAAATTGCTCACAAATTGGCCCTAAATTCAATAATGATTGGACATTTTTAAATTTGCGGAGCAAGAATTAAATTTTTAGTGAACTATGAAACACGAATTGTTTTTTATCCATTGAAAAAAATCAATAAGTTGACGACCTCCATAGATTTTTAACGGCCATCGCATTAGGAAAAAACCTAAATCGTGTAATTTGGCCGTGAAAATGCACATCTGCTAACCTTGCTGACAATTCTGTAATGAAATCTTTGAGCGACAGATATGTGGTGAAAATGATGCCTGTATGTTGAATTCAGCCTCTCAATGGTTCGAGGTTCCTACAGCGTCGTTTTCTGATGAACTTGTCACTTGTGTCAGTTTGTATGAGCTTAATGAATGTGACGTTAAGTTTCATCTTACATTCATACGACTGAATTGCGCACCTCTAGGTCTAGGGTTAGCGATAGATTTCCTAAATTTTCCAGGCATGTGCATCTAATACTGTATAATTTTATACTTGAATAAAGCCTCTTCTTTACCCCGCATTGTCTTGAAACCAAACACTTTTCGTGCAGGCTTTTCGAACGGAGCATGTTCGTTATTATCTGCCGTTCACTTCGTTTGATTGAAGCTTTTAATTGTACGCAACACTATTTGTAGTCGATTAATTTTCGCGTCTGTATTTCAATCACTGACAAGTATCAAGACATAATAATGTTTTTAGTATCGCAATGACTTTGTACTGAATAATTTTATCTAATATGTTTTTAAGTTGCATTTTTTGCAAGACAGAATAATTGCCTCATTTCATTTCGACACCGAATCCGGAGTTTAATTGACTACTTATGACTTTCTGATTGTACAATTCCAAGAACCCCAATGTGTTACAGGAAGACAGAAAGAAACTTGCGCGCGCCAGCGTTCGAAACCCTCATGATGGAGCCGGTTTTATAATCAATGAATGTGTTTGTTTTCTGATAAACTTTAATTTCCTAGACAATAAAGTCGTTATCCATGTTCTGCTGGATAGTCGACCCATAATTTTCAGTTGAGCCTAATGTCCCGCTGCGTCTACAGGTGTTACTGCTTCGTTGGGCTAATATACCTGCAAGCTTCTTTTTTTATTTTCTCTCGTCAGCTTATCCGAAAAATCAATCTAATTTTTACCAAACAATAATAATAATATATTTACGTGGATAACCGCTTGACCGCTTGGTGTGGATAGCTCACCCGCTTGAATTGAAAACGAACTGGTTGAAAAAAAATCTGGTTTATTGTCCAGCGAATAAATTTGAATCAGAAGATTGTAACGAAGAATTAGAGAATCAACTTGAATAACTGGAAAATGTTTTATGTATTTAGACCTGATCTGAAGTTAACAGTGATTTAGAACTCCAGATCATTGTTGTCAGTCCCAAGTTTGTTCGGAATACATTTCAGTCGGTTTACGCCTACTGTGTCGATTAAAAAAAAATTCATTGATCCGCAGCAAAGGCCGAGAGAATCATGTGGTATGTTGCAACAGAAGGGCCAGACTAACAAAAAATGAGCGTGAATTCGTAATTCCGTCAGCCAATAACTGACGGCTTTTCAAGCTAAATTCACCAATCATAGACGAGGAATCGACCGCTACGTGTAACTTGGCCGCTACGTGGACTCAGGTCATTACGTGTTTTTATTGGCCGTTAAGTGTATTTACGCAGTTTGAGAAGCTGAAAAGATTCAGTGAGAAGATGAAGGGTGTCGTGCTATCTGCATGCATGCGTGGAAGGATTTTTTTTATAGTTGAGGTTAAGACTTGTGGCGACAAATGCGCCCACCAGCCTGATCTCTGTCAGAATGCGTGAAAGGATGCCGTACGTTTGTCATACGATACGATTCGTGCGTGCAAGATATGGCTCAGTATGAATTCTCTGGTTGAATCAACATTGAAATAATGCTGCTCCGTTCATAACGTTTAAATCATGTTGAACACTAGTCCAGAATGGAAATTGAAGATATAAGTCATTCTTGAAACGTCATGTACTCATGTTACTGTACAACATTTAATTGGTGTTACAAATTTAAAATTTTTGCTTTCAAATTACATTGACTAAAAACTGGTTTGAAAATTGAATCGACCTTTTTAATGCAACGTTGTAATCATGCTGATCCATGAAAGGATTCATTATATATGTATTACCGTGCATTATCGATTTTATATTGTTTCAGATGATCATCATTACAATCTAGTATCAACTCTTAATCGATGTTGTTTTAATGCAAGCAGCCAATGTCACCTGTCGGGTTGAAGCTTGGCCGTTTTCAGATTTTTAGAAAGAAGGAACAGAATTTCTGAAAATATCATTTTTCTCTCTTCATCTCTGTCATCTGGTATGGGCAAACTCTACCGTCAGTTTTCTCTATTAATTCAAATCAGATGCTAATATTCATGTAATATAATATATGTACATATAATATTCATGTATACTAATACGTCCACGAGACGTCTCCAGAGAACGTCACCAAGTGCTTGAGTGGCTGCCTACGTTGCTTCTGAATCCTCTGAGTTAACTATAGGATTCAGACGTACCTAGAAGCACGGGCAACGTTACCCACACGTTCAAACGTAGTGAGCACCTACTGTACAACGACGAAACGCGCTATACCACCAGCGATTAAGGTGCTGTACGCATATAATATAAGTACCTAACATTTTTCATTATAGGAGAGAAGGCATTTCATGATTTAGTTCGAATTCCCAAATATTCAGAAAAATACTACCGTAACTTTTGGCCGCGATCTGAAAAAGAATAAGGTTAATCTCTCCTCCATAACAATTTGGTTTTCAATTAAAGACTGGCAATTGCATTTTGTGCGTCAGTATCAACTATCAATGACGGCGGCAAGTGTCGCTTGCTTAATTAACTTGAATTATGCTTCTTCATTTTTCCTGCGTTGTCATTTTTTGCCATTGGCCAGTGTTCCCTTCCAAGTTTGTTCTTTGCGTGATCTGTCATTTATTCAATGAACCTCGTATCACGAACTGATTATTTGAAAAATGATAACCTTCATTTGATCAAACAAATTTATCGGTTATCGTGGACCGATGATTCCTAACCTTCGTTTGAGCATCTTAAAGAAAGTATTGGCATTAGATGCCTCTTATCGAGTAATGAACAATTGTATAACTTAAATGCTACTTACCTCCAGACATGTTCATGAACTATATACTTTCAGACGAAAGTAGTTCATCTGTACCGACATTGCGTTCGTGCGGCTAGGACGCTCTACCAGATAAGCGGGGGCAGATCTTTCAGTTACTCCGAAGGTCGGCCATTTTTCCGTCACTAGATTCTTGTAGGTAGCTAGGCAGAATAGGTGCGGTCCATTTACCATTTATGCAATACGTAGCAATGTTTTTTCTTTACTTAACGTACGCAATAGTTCTAGAGTGCGTTTGAGATTTTATTCTATTCTAAAATTACTTGAATTCAAATTTCGGAACTTCGTGTTGCTCATCACAACTTGCGCGTTCGCATACGACACGTGCAACCTTCGATCCGCCCGCGCCATTTTCGACGTTCTCAAGTGGGCTCATCCGGCAGCGTCAATCCTATTCACGAATGCTGAAATGTCAACGATACTGGACCCGAACTCTGATTTTTCCTCGAGTTATTCGATCGGTAGTTAATCATTTCGAAGACCATTACACGTCTTCAATCTCATGCTTGCAAATTCCAATGGTTACTTCTAATTATTTAGGAATTTCCACAATTTCATGCTGGCAAAAGGAAGAAGCTTTTTCTCATTGTTAAACTGATTATCCACACTACAAATTATTTTCATTGTCCTCGAAACAGACTAAAATTTCCATAAATACTAATTCATGTAGAGGTAATTGATGGTCTGGAGACAAATACCTTCATAATTTTCACAATAAAAATCATTAAAAATAGAAGGCTATCACTTCTCATTTTTAAGTGGATTGTTAAGCTCCAGTCAATTACAGTGTCTCGCACAACCGTTGAAAATCATGCTTGACTATAATTACATGAATTCAGTTTTACATTTTGAGTACAGATTTTTAAGAAATCTGGCCGTTAGTAAATCAATCAGATAGTCAGAAATGAGTTGATATTATGCTTTCAATATGGATTATAATGTTTAAATTGGACTTGCTATGCTCTAAAAGTCTATTCATCGCCAAATTTACGTAAATTCTACTGATCTCTACCTTCAGGGAACAAATACATATATCCGTATTATCGTGTATGAGGAAAAAATCATCTCGTATATTCGTTAAAAGGATCAGTCAGGGTAATGTTGTTGAAGCTTAGAGTAAATTAAAGATTTATTTCTTACAGATTTTGCAACAGATACGGAGTCCATTCAGCCATGTCGTCGAGAGGAGCTGATGGCGACCTCAAAGACCCGTCGCACGACCGGCGTCACCGCGCGCCCCCCGTCATCTCAGGGACGTGCCGCGACCCTAGCGCCGGCAGCACCAGGTACTACCCCTTCACGTCTGACGGGAGGTGCTTACAAGCAAGCGCGGTTTGATGCTGTTTATAGGGAGCAATCGTGATGTAAAATTTGGTTTTCTTCGTCGCTTAGAGTATTAAAGTGAAATGATTGTCTCAAATTAAAGAAATTGATGTAATTTTATTCCAAGATAATTCCAAAAATATTCACCATAGTTTCTTCTTTTTAAAACAAAATTCACAAAAAAACTTTCAACATTAAAGCAAGGTAAATTTGAACGACAAAATTTTCACTGTGGAGACTAAAACTCATAAGTTGACCAGCTAGCGACGAAGAAACAAGTAAACATTATTACTATAGCTATAGATAAAATCAAGCGGGTGAGATAAGTGAGCGTTGTTTAAATAAGATTCCCGTTCAATCCTCAAATGATTTCAAAATTTTAAAATGCTTGAATGTAGAGTGACGGAGGGAGAGAATATTTCAAGTCGCTTCCGGATACGGGTACGTTGCACTCGCTGTTCGCACATCTAAACGAAATGGCGGTGAAAATAAGTTTCCTGAAAGATGACTCGAGCCGAGGTGTTTCAGAGGTAGACTCGAGCCCAGGTGTCTCAGAGGTAGACTCGAGCCCAGGTGTCTCAGAGGTAAGCTCGAGCCCAGGTGTCTCAGAGGTTCCGAAAATCGAATTTAGAAGTTACGTTATCTCTGTTCGACGTAAGCCCGGTGCACAATTTAATGAGCACTACTGGAGTCGTAAACCAAACAAGACTGCATCTTAATTGGAAGAATATTCTTATGCCCGAAGAAGGGACCAGTTTTGAAGAAATTGCCCAACAATGCCAACAAATTAACATTAAAAAATATGAATGCGTGACCTTAAAATCTTTGCTAATATTTTCAGCATCAGAGTCGAAAATTGGTGAATTTCAACTGGCAATTTTCCCGCAATCAACCTCATCAACTATTTCAGAGAATCGCTTCAACATGAACTCCTTGACTTTAGAAGACTCATAGAAATAAAACATTACGAAAAATAAGTAATTCAAATTGTATAGCGTGGAAGATAAAGCGTTCTCAAAACTGCGGAATATTTAAGCTTAAATTCTATTCACATTACAATAAATTATACAAGGACGAAAAGTTACGTACGTTACAGAGAGTGACTACAACATTCTGGAACATGCACTATGGTCACGGTACTGAAAAGTGCATTGAATTTTGAAGTCTAATCTTTACATTTGCATTTTAATTTAAAACAAGTTCCAAGATTGCACAACGATTTTGTTATATCATGTGAGAAGAAACAGCATTGAAATTAAATACAATGCTCTAAATGTATTTATTTATCACAGTAAAGTCCGGCTGAGAATAGACGACGACACCAGCGGTACAGTCGCTACATCTGCCGACCCAGCAGAGGTGCAGCAGGTGCACGTACAGCGGCCAGCCTACACGCTGCCTCAGCTCAGACATGACCTCTGCTACCAGCCCAGCCCCAAGAGAGGTACGCATAAATACAATTAAATATTGTTTATACTCAAGGCATTGGTTAAGCTCGATTATCTGATATATAATGAAATGTATTTGATATCTCTTGGATGATGTACATAGGATGTTGTGGATATATCTAATATTTTTTGCAGCTCCATCCTGGTTCTTCATTGGTCACCGATTGTATACTTGATTACAATTGAAATTATTGACAATTTAATGTAGCGCAATCTTGAACCATTGTGTGAACATAAATGGAAATTAATGCAATTACATAATCGTCAAAACTTAGTATTGATCTCTCTTGCAATTCATAGCTGCACGTACTAGATAAATGGAGTGACCATCCGAAATTAAAAACGTCCAAGCTATCATATTTTCTCGTTATTTTTTTATTTTTGCTGATTTTTTTGGTTCGATCGCCGTTTTATCCTATTTCCCAAGCAGAATGTTATTGCCTACGATGACAAATAAATTTTTCAGGCCTCAAGGGCTCGCTCAAATCCTGCCTGAGGTCATCATGCCGCTGCTCCCCCGGCGCCCTGTGGTCCCTCCTGCAGCAGAGGGTGCCGCTGCTAGCGTGGCTCCCCACCTACTCCCCCAGACGCGACCTCGTCGGGGACCTCATCGCTGGTCTCACTGTCGCTGTCATGCACATCCCACAAGGTTGCGGTTTATTGCATTTAGTCATTGGGATAAACTTTTCTTTCGGAGGTTGACCAATCGGGATACTAAAATAAATTCATGAATATGTTGAGTAAAATGGTTTTAATCTTGAAACTTAAGTGTATTTTAAATAATCGATAATACTGTTGCTGGCTAAAACGTATCAACCGCTTTTTCTGTTCATAATATCATTGATGAAAGCTAGAATACAACAAAAAGACTATTCCAGGACTGAAATTCTACTTCGAACAATTGATTATAATAACCTAAACTTAATTTAAAGCTTCTACAGCAAACATTTTAGATATATTTTACTCTTTACGTCCATTTTCAGGCATGGCTTACGCAATGTTGGCGGAGGTGCCCCCGATTTTGGGTCTGTACACAGCCTTCTTTCCGGTGCTGGCCTACGCCATCTTCGGCACCTCGAAACATGTCTCTGTTGGTGAGTCCTGTTGAAGATTTTACTTTTGTAGCAGCGCTTTCTCAAAATTTACGTGCAGCATATATTCGACTTGCGGTCGAGATATGACAACGACGCGCGCATCCTTGCGCTCGCGCCCCTGCAATGTATATAGTGGGTTTATCCGACGCCGTCACTACTGTCCATGAATACTGAATACTGTCAAGACTTTGAGGATATTAATAGCAATAATAGTGCTACTGAAAGGTAGAGGTAATATAGGATGGAGCATTCTTATTGGTTTCTTGTGAGCCTAATAATCCGGTATGTTTCTCATAATCAGGGTTTTCAAAATATTTTCATTGTACCATTAACCTAATATTTTACAAGGTAATTTTAACTAACGAAGAATCGATGAGTATCTTGGAAGATTACATACTTCGATTCATTTATATCAAAATTTTGATAATTTGATAGAACTTCAGTGCTTGAGCTCGGTTCTAAACGCTAGAGCAACCGAGATTATGTCATTACATTTCCGGCTTGATGAGATGATGAACTCTAACACCTGCTTCTTATTGACAGGTACTTTTGCCGTATGTAGTCTGATGACGGGAAAAGTGGTGGGAGACTTAGCTACCCCAATATTTCCAGCAGTTACCACGGTAACGTCATTGTTGGCACAACATCTCGACAACACAACCATGCCTTCATCCGTGTTGCCTAACTCGGGCTCGGCTGCCATTCTCAACAGCTTGAGGATTTCTGCTCGGAGCTTAGACAAGTCCAGCTCCCTGTCTGACGTCTCTCAGGCACCGGTCGGGTTTGCTGACGCCGTGAATGACACGTTGCTCACTGGATTGTCTACCATGACCACCTCAGGTCCTGAGAGCAGCAGCGGCCCGGTGCAGTACACGCCCCTGCAAGTGTGCGTGGCTGTCGCCTTCATGGTCGGAGTGTGGCAAGTTAGTTTCACAATGCTCCACTCGATTGATGAAATTCAAAGCAGTTAAGTTTGAGTTCAACTCCAGGTTCTTTTTGAAGCAAAAATAGGTAGCATATTTTGGTTAAATTAGTTTTGGACATTTATGTTTTTGCTGTTGTTTACTAAATGTTAGTAAGTTGGTGTTGTTTACTAAATTTTATTTAATTTAATCAAAATGCCATCATCCACAATCAAGCTCGCGTGTTTTGCTGGTAGATTCTCTTCGGTCTCCTGCACCTGGGTGACATGTGCGTGTTGCTCTCTGACATGCTCATCTCAGGCTTCACTACGGGAGCCGCTGTACACGTCCTGTCGTCCCAACTCAAACACATCTTCGGCCTCCCAGTCCCCCGCTACAGCGGACCCTTCCGACTTATTTATGTAAGAAACTTTTTTCCCCCATCCGACTTATGAATATACAAAAATTAGGTTCGATTAACCTGAATATTGGAATAGGATTAATTGGATCCAGGAAGTCTATACCTGCCATAAATATGTTTTTATTGTTCGGAGGACTCATTTTGCCAACTTTTTTAATAAATAAAAAAAAAAATCAATAATTTCTCTTCAAAATTAGATTCCGAAAGAATCATATCGCTGAAAATTGAACCAAAGTATGTTATATATTCTCAGTGGAAAAGAAGTAGGTTATATTTTATGAGTGTCCTTTTTTCAGACGTACATTGACCTGGTGAAAATGCTGCCCTCAGTCAACGCGACTGCGTTGGTCATGTCGGTGGTGTGCATAGCGGTGCTTGTTTTCAACAACGAAATAATAAAGGTGGGAGCAAGTGCCCTATACTGTCGCTTAAGTGAAAACGAAATGCGTTAGTTGGAACATCAATCAGTTTCTGTAACGACACCGATTAGCGCAGCAATTAAATTTGAAGCATTTTAAAAGCTCGTTTGCAATGTACTATTACGAATACATTGTTCAACGATCTATTCTGTATTTTTTTATCTATCACGGAAACAAATTGAGTGCTTTTCACTTACTTTGAAGTTGTCCTCGTGATGTTCGGTATATCATCTGGTTTTTCATAATTTCTTGCCTCTGAATATAACGCATAATTTTCAGCCGCGCTTGAGAAAAATCACGAACTTCCCGGTGCCCATCGAGCTGATTGTCGTGGTGGTCGGAACGACCGTCGAATACTTCGTACAGTTCGAGACGACCAACGAACTCAATGTCGTGGGCGACATTCCGACGGGGTGAGATGTTTTTCAAACGAGTTCTTTGTTATGGTCGTAAGAAACTGTTCTAAAAATACTTGATTTGGCAAGTCCAATAATTTTATAGTGGTGGATTGAGAATCTTGAATGATCTTTCGTCTTGCCATGGCTTTCTTAGCTTGTCGCTCAAAGTCCATGTTTTTAAATCTTGCTAGCGTGTGTCGTAGTGGGAACAGCAAGGTAGACGAGTGATATTCATGTGATGAACTTTTGATGTTAATTTTTTTTTCGTTGCCAGGCGTCTGGAATACGTTTTTCTGATATTGAAATCGGCTACAAATTTATAACCTTCATAACTCGAAAAAAAAAATAAATTAGAAATATTATGGAAACATTGTCGAAATATTCCAGTTGATTTTTAAGTATTGTCTTTCAGTTAGATTCCCAGCGTTCATTTCAAACACTGATTCTAGATTACCTGAGGCTACTTTGCCGGACTACAACCTCTTCGGGCTTATGCTGGCCGACACGTTTGTTCTCGCCATCGTCGTGTTCATCATCTCCTTCTCTATGGTGAAGATCTTCAGCACCAAGCACGGCTACCGCGTCGACGCCACGCAGGAGCTTTACGCCGGGGTAGGTGCCTCGGAAGCTACAGGCTCAATCTTGTCACGAACTTGACTAATGTGAACTATATTAGTATTTGAAATTTGTAATGCATTGTGTTATGTGAAACTTTGATCTAAGAATAATTTATAATATGTGATGTATTTTGGCAATAAATTGAAGGATTTTTTGGACATCGAATAAAATAACTAAAAAACCTTAGAACCAACAGGTTCAATTGAATTGTATACAAATTTTACATTTACTGCTGTTAAAGTTAGAATCTGACTATAACGGTGATTTTTCCGGACGTTCGTCTGCTAGGGCATCAGCAATATCTTCGGCTCAATGTTCTCTTGCGTGCCGTCGTGCGTGTCGCTCTCTCGCTCTCTCATCCAAGAGTCTGTCGGTGGCCGCACGCAAATGACTTCGTTCGTGTCTTGCTCAGCCATGTTCTTCGTCCTGCTATTCATCGGACCTTTATTTGAAACCCTGCCTAATGTGAGTTGTTGGAATGTTGATACATTCAAAATGACAGTCTCAAAGTAAGTATGTATCCTCGATCCATTTTTTTATTTTTGGATTCACTCTTGACCCGAAATTAACCCGTACTGTTGTAGCGGAAAAAAATTATTTCTTACGACAAATTTGACCATTTATTTCATAGCACCGAATATTGCTTAACGAATTCAATTAGTTTCCGGGTCAAAAATCATAAATTCGTTTTTTCTTTGCGTGCAGTGCGTGTTGGCGTCGATCATCATAGTAGCTCTGAAGGGAATGTTTCTGCAGGTAACGTTTACACATTTTGTGCTCGTAAATCCTATCCTACCCTTCCTATCCTGCATTAAAATAACCCATAACCATCGAAATGCAATGACTCGAAACTCTGAGATTGTATCTATTCCTCGTAGTTTATATGAAGTTCCAAATTCATACGAATCACGCCACAACATTGCAATATTACCTATTCCGATGCAACGTCTCTTGGACATTCAAATTATTGTATTTGTTGTCAGATGTACGACTTCATATCGTCTTGGAAGCGGTCTAAAGGCGACGCTATGTTATGGTTGGTCTCGTTCAGCGTGACCGTCCTCGTGGACATCGACTACGGCTTGGGCTGTGGCCTCCTATTCTCCCTCCTGGTCCTCTTCAAGCGCTACTTTGACCCTGTGGTTGCCAAGCTAGGTTGGGTGCCCAACACCGATATCTACCTCGAGTTGGACAACTACCAGTCGGTTAGTGTGTGTGTGTGTATTACTCATCCTGGTAGCGGCTACTTGGGAAGGGAGTGAGTGATCGTTGGCCCGATTTAGATTGGTAGTTGCCCTAACTACAAGCCCGTCCATCACTGACTCGTTGACCCGCCAGAACCATTTTATTACATTGCACAGATAGCTATTGTGTAGCTTGTGAAGTTGTGAGTAGCTATTCTTCTTGTAGATTTTCGACAATACTATAATTTATGGCGTGAGACAAAATTTTGTCCGTTCAAGTTTTTATGACTTATTTATCTATCATATCCTATGTAAAGAACATATCTAAAATATTTAATTTCTATGTTTAACTCAAAAATGAATAATATTTTTTTACCGTTATGTACCTCTGAATTGTGTATTCGATACAATTTATTGGAATCTATCTCTAAAGCAAGGTTTATAGAAAGAAGTATTTTGTGTGCATCGGACCATAAATGCGTATTAACTGCATGGACAGGTGGTGTCGGTGGCAGGGGCAAGTATCTGTAAGGTAACCGGGGCTCTAAACTTCGTCAACATAGAATGCTTCAAGAAGAGGCTCGTCAAAGTAACGGGACTTGATGTCGAGTGAGTATAGAAATTTTATCATTTTGTTCTGTTTCTGTTAACATTAAAATTCTGATGTTTTAAAGAGTATTATGCTCAACTCGTAGCTAGTAAAGCATGAAATTACAATGTAGCACGTATCCGAAATTTTTTTAATTTAGTGTTTGAAACTTTGTGCTGTGAATTATAGGGCTGTTGATAGCGTATCGCCAATACCCTAAAAACTGCGTTGGTCGCATTGACTTTCGTCTACTTCTGGGTTGGGATTTCGAAACTGTCGTTCGCTGGAGTTCCACTCATTATATAGTAGAGTGCGAGTTATAGATCTGCCTGATGTTTCAAAGTCTGGCGCTGGAAATATAGAGGGGCTTTAGATTAGGATTAGAAAGAATTTTATGTAATTATGTAAAAACTGTAAAATATTAATTTCTTCCACATATTTCAACGGGAGATTCATTTTAAATGTTGCTATTCGTTGGTCTTGGTTTAATTAGTATGCGTTAAATTTAAATTGTGAAATAAAATGATGGTATATGGGATAATGTCTTGATTTTGAGAAGTCATGTAAATTTCTCGTCGTTCACGTGACTAAATTTTATTTTATTCGCAGAAAAGTGGCGTTAGCAAAGTCACACCGTGACCAGCAGTTAGTAACTCCCACGCACCGGGCTTCAGAAGCTCGAGGATCTCAGAAACCTGGAACTCCAGTTGACGATGTTGGTGACATCTCGACTGGTGGGAGGCCTGGCCAGACCATCCCGGCTCCTGCTGAAAACCTCACAAGGGAAGTCATCAAAGATGCCATCGTTAACGTCTTCCACTGTAACATGAGCTTCTCTTGTCAAGCCTCGCAGAAAAATAATGACTTTACTAATGGCCAGGAGAATCTCGCGTACCTGCAAGATGAACAACCACAAGAACAAGTGAGTTCTTTGATTTTTAGTTGTTACTAAGTCAAAGGTAGTTAGTGCTTGCCTGTGTTTGGTATGTAATGTATGCTCGGTGGTTTTTCTCTTCCGTGTTTTTTTTTTCAATAGAATTACCGAGAAACCTGTGTTCTTTCATTAAATCTCTAAGAATCAATTTTTCTTAATTTCCATGAAGAATTATATTTTCTGAAGAAGGCGGCTCGTGGATTTCTCGCGACACGGCACATCTTAACTTAAATATAGTGTGGATTAAAATTCGTCACAATTTGAACCACGCCACCATAATCTTCTGTAAGAGTGTCACGTTTCATTTGGTGACTTTCGTATTTTTCTTTCGACATAACAAATTATTTTCTGCATGAACATATTTTCAAACTGGTTGGTTAACTTTGATGCGAGACGACCGCCCGTGAAACCAAAACCGCATTGACACGGCCAATAACCCCATTATGAACCTACACGATATTTTAGCATGTCTTCTCGGACGCATCTTTAGGACGGTCTCGTACATTCCAGTATTTACGTGTTGGGATAATGTCGTGTATCATTTATGCCTTCCGTGTTGCTACCGCGCAGGAATATTGTGCATGTTTAAACACTATTGCACACAACACATTTACAACAGTAGGCTCAATGTTTTGTATTCATGTTTGTGTATGGTTGTTTAGCACATCCCAACCTGTAACGTTATCTGTTTGGCATAAACTGTGTGTAGATGGTACCTACATTGTCTGTACTGTTCCAATACATATGCTTCCTTTGTTTGTATAGCTCGTTGTTTTTTGCTAGATCTTGGAATGTTTTTCCACAATGAGTGTTTTTTTATTTAATTTCCAAACTTGTGGATGTAATTTTTTCGTTTGGTAGCTCAACAACTCGTGCTCCACTAACTTCACATCGACAAAGACCTCACATGGTGTTGTTGATTCGTCCAAAGTGGTAAGTGGAGAGCGTGTGCGGTGAAAAGTTGCTCAACCCTCATGATACGAAATATTTGCTTGAAAATAAACCAGAATAATCCCCGAATAAAGTACTGGTAAACCAATAATAAAAGTCATAATGTATCGATCAACGCTACTTTTTGATTATTATAAACGAGAGCAATTATGATTGAGCAATAAGAGCAGTTGAAAGTAGCTGACAGGTCTGCTATAAAAATTAAGTTTCATTACCTTTACGGCGGACGCAAGGTTGCAAAAAAATTGAGACTCAAGTAGATTAAGACAACATTTTTGATCCTCCTGAAATGCCGATTGCCAGAAATATTTTAACATAGATGCTAAATATGAAACGAAGTTTCTGTAATAATTACAAGACGACTAGTCGTCAGTAAACGAATCTTGCATATCAACGAAAGTTGTATTTTCTCCACGCAGGATATGAATATGTTGGTGCTTTGCTTTTCGAGCGTCAGTTGGTTGGACTTTACCGCAGCCAAGCAGTTGGAAAATCTCTTTGACACCTACAGCAAAGCTGGCATCACTTTGGTGGTAGCAGGAGCCAATGGTGAGTTAAAATTCAGTGAATTAATATTTTAATTGCCCATATCTGTGGCCCCAAAAACGTATGTGTCGAAACGGGGCTTGTAAGAAATGTTTTATACTTGAAAAAATTGTAAACCAGACGAGAAGCTCTGGTAGGTTCCTAATTTTGTCAATGTAATTTTAATATTGATGATGTTTGAAATATCAAGTGTTATTAACCGATTGGCTTGCTGAACTATATATTTACCTCAATTACATACGTAATTTTAATAATACTGATGTTTGAATTATCAAGTGTCATTCATCCTTTGGCATGCTGAACTCTATATTTACCACAATTACATACATAGTTTTAATATTGATGATGTTTAAATTATCAAGTGTCATTCATTCATTGACTTGCTGAACTTTATACCTACCACAATTACATACGTAATTTTAACAGTGAAGATGTTAGAATTATCAAGTGTCATTCATCCATTGGCTTGCTGAACTCTATATTTACCACAATTACGTACGTAATTTTAACATTGATGATGTTTGAATCATCATGTGTCGTTAACCCATTGGCTTGCTGAACTTTATATTCAGCTCATTAGAAATAACCATTGCCATTTGAATTTCGGACAAGGCTACTCAGTTAAATTTATACACTTCTATTTCAGATCAAGTTTTGGAAACGCTGAAAATTAGCGGTCTCTTCGCCCGCATTCCCGAGAACAGATTCTTTTTGAGCATCCACGACGCGCTGACGTTCTTGGCCGCCGCTTCGGAGCAGAATAGCGGCCGTGTGCCGAGCGCCGCTCGGATTTTTGCCGCCGCTTCGGAGCAGAATAGCGGCCATGTGCCGGGTGCCGCCCGGAGCTCCACGCACGACGCTCGGCCGGCCGTCGTGGCGCTGTCTCCTGCCCTGCCTGCCGCTGCCACCACTGCTGGACAGTCATGCCAATATTCTAAAGCTGACATACCTTAATGTGTCTCTTTTTTATTTCGAAAATATAGTTAAAGTTGAAGAAAAGTTGACGCTCTGTATTTGCAAATAGGAACGTCAAAAAATCAAAACGAGGCAGCTGGTGAGGGTCAGTCTATTATTGTTATTATCAGGCAGTGAGTCTAGTCTAATTCATTATTTTTGCGAGCTTATTCTCTTCGAATAGCCGAAAATCTTAAAATGAACTATGAGTGGGCTGCCTGATCGATGATTTCCAGCCTCAGCAGAAATTGGGGCATCGCAGCTGTCTTACAGATTTAGTCAAGTTGAATAGACTACAATTTGTGACGATTACTACAGGGGTATAAACAAGTCTGCTAGGAATTTTTAAAATTAAATTTGTTCATTAATCAAGTCCGTTTGTAGTAACTTGTTATCAGGCATAGAGACATTGAAAAGGAGGTCTGGAACTGTGTGGAATTTCCTCACTCCTTTCAATCAGCTTCGAATTTGGAAAATAGGAAAGTAAAAGTCTTCCGTTGAATCGTCGTTCCGAGAAGGTCGTTGGCTGTTAAGTGTCAACCAAGTATAATGGCGTGTGTATACAACGCAACTTGTCTCTGTGTATGGACGTTAGCCTAACATATCCCTCGTTGCCATAAGTTAACTGGTGCTATATATACTTGCATCATTTACATTAGAATTTGTACCTGAAAGCTCAACTGGTCATTCCAGCGGAACGTGAGCGGTCCGAATTTTTGTGTTTCATTTCGTCGAGCATGAAATGCAAGACGAATCATGATAGAACAAAATATTCTTAATTCGCTTAATTTTAAAAAACATTTATTTAATTATAACTCAAGATAATTATATAATTACCTTTGGCCAAATTTTTTTAATTATGTTGTTAAAGTTAAATGGACTATTGCGAGGTGCAATCGGAGAAAAAGCTGATTCCAGGTGTCTTTCCCCCAGCATTTCATTGGTTGTGTATAATTAACGAAGCTCGTTAAGTAAGCTAGCTGAGAGACATAGAATGTCCATGATGTAATAATACCTGGTTGACTTTATTAATATTAGTTGTTCCCCGAAGCTGCATATAATTTAGCGGTTTTACTATGAGAAATTCTGGGACCTGCATCCTATGACAAATGTTATTCTTATCACAACCTGAGTTTTCATTGCAATGATGTTAATAGGACCTATATAGAAATGAATCTCTTAATTATTTCCATGGCATATGTTTAACTCTGTTGGGTTCACATGCTGCGACATAAACTACTCTGACCTTGACGGTACTATCATTGACATGAACGATGTGTCTACCCATTCAGTTTGCAGGTCCGTTATTATGTTATATTTTATCATAAATTATTAATCAATGGTAACTAAATCTTTCATTTTGCATCAGCAGCGTTTGTGTTCAGAATTAATGTATTGATCAAGTTGCTTCATCAATTTTTTTCTGTTATAACTATTATTTTACTCTTTGGATTGACAAAATTGACAAAGAATCTTATATTGCGTAAATACATTCGGGACTTTGGAGTAATTGTTTTAACAAGAGCATTGAATAAATTGTGCGAGCTGGCACCATGTCATTCATGACTCAACTCACGTTTCAGAATGAATGAACTCATTCATGAATGAACTCACTTTTTGCTCATAAGCCTCATTGCTGACTATGCGTGGACCACGATAGATTATAAATATTTCCCTGTTATTTGTTGCGACAGTCATGCTTTTCGAGATATTCTATAAATCAATGACAATCCTAACTATTCCTGCTATTGGCATTTAAGTGTTACTTCTCCTTAGGACTGAAGTGTATTCGATCGACTGATATACGTACTTATTATGTTTAAATTTAATATATGATGTTTTTAGTTATTTAATCAATTTAATATTTGATATTTAGTTTATCCAATAGTATGTATGAATCTGACTATTACATATCAAATTAATTTAATATCAATAACTTACATATCTTCTTAATCACTTTACTCGTGCTAGACTAAGCGAATATTCTTGGGTGCGTAAGCGAAAGTTTCAACTGAATGAAGTTTCATTGGTTTGATGTAATCAGAAAATTTACCACCAGTTCATAGCACTCATGAGGTATTAATTAATCCCGCAACAAATTCTTATCTGTGTGTTTTCAAATAATTAAAAACCGTTAAAGCATTTAATTATTTTCAATTATTAAAAAATTTTAATTACAAGAAAATTCTCGTGGCGTTGAAAGAAATAATCAAAATCATTTCTACGCACACCACCGTCAGGCATGTGATAAACTTGGCACGTTGAGTGTTTAATACGGAAAGTTTTCTGTTGATCTCGAATTTTGTAGAGATGAAGACTTAATGTTTTTATTGTTCTAACTGAATAATGTTTCAACAATAGGTCTTTCATGAACTAAAGACCTGCCTATACTTCCACATCAAGACCGACAGTCACGTTGCGCCCAGGTAGACGATGTGCGATTTTCTAGTGAAGGGAATGAAAATTTAGTACTTCCTTATCGTTGAATTTTTCAATTTCCAATTAGGAACCCACGAAAATTGACTATCTGATCATTCTCCAATACATTTCTCGCATGAATATTTTCTTCAAACTCTCGCCAAAGTCTAAATTTTTCGTTTGACTTTCTAGCCGTTGAGGCACTTGCATTATGGACTTATTCGCGCCACGTATATACGATGAAGGATATCAGGTATGGGCGTGTTTATGAGAAGCAACTTCTTGTTCGGCTCGTGATGATGACATGATAACATTGAGACCAGGGTCTATACTATCAAAAAAGTTAAGAGATCGTAAGTTCATCAGCCAATCATTGCCGGCCTTACAAGCAAAATCCACCATGCAATCATAGACGAGAAAATAGAGCCTAAGTACTTTCGTTCACTTAACCAGTTTTGAAAGTATGACCCCAGACCTCCTCAAGCGAGTGACATGGATTTTGTTAATTATCACAAATGGTGATCACAAATACGGTCTCGATGATTATTCAAATCTTGAAAAATAATTTACGCCTAGCTAAACAAATTCTTTGCTGACGATCGTTGATTGCCTTCAACTAAGACGTCTGTATTTTAGTACGTGCTCCAAGTACATTTTTTTCGAACCTTTTCCATGTGCAGTTGTGCTGGCGATTCTTTCCTTAATTGTGCTGCTCCAATTAAGATTGAGTTATTAATTAAATAAATTAGTCGATATATTACGAGTTTACTCGTTATGGTCTCCCAGGGCCCGTTGCTTTACATGCACGGCGCTCGTGATCTGAGGGAACATCTACAACATATCTGTTTTGTGTCAGTAAATTTATTCTTATTTATTATGCTATTCTTTCATCCTATCGCCCTTCTAATTCATGATTCCTACAGCATAGATCAGAACCGAATATATTTTATTAAAAGTGTCCTGTACTAAATTATGTTCAACGTATGTGCAGAATATCTTACTCTGGAGTGAAAGTTATTTTATTTTTTAATTGCTGTCAAGAATTATTATTTAGAGAAGCAACATAAGTTTTTATTGTCATCTTAGTGCCGAAACATGGCAACGTCCGACCCTTGTACTCCACCAACCATGCCCATGGTTTTACCTCCTGTTCTGTTGGCACGTCTGAAACGACCAGGGCGAATGGGAGTGTTGGCAACCCACTCAGAGTAACAAGAGTGATTTTTTCCTAATAGCGATGCACTTTTTAGCGTATTCTCTGATTTATGAAAAATAGGCGCTATTATTGCGCTCGTTATGTCCGTCCGTCCATCCGTCCGTTCGCCTGTCTGTCTGTGACTTCACGTTGCCGAGTATCCATGATACTAGGGGACGAGAAAAAGTGCTCTCTGTCACTCACTGTAGTGAGTACTGATATATTTTTATCACCTTTTGTGGGTCATACTTAGCCAGTTGGGCCCCACCAATAGGACGTATCAGTGCTACGACCGTTCTCTGCTCATACTAATAGCGAGAAAGTGTGTCACTATATTTGAACAATATCACCCATTCATATTTATGAATGCAACTTCTACGTCATCAATATGGTTCATCACAGGTCATCAATGGCATATTGTTCTCTAAACGCAACTAATAGATCTATGCAAATTAACCTCCGAATTTCACCCAATTTAATGAACAAGATTCATAGGAGGCCTAGTAACAGGTTTAAGCTTGATAGCTATAAACGATCTATAAGGTTACATTAAGTATAGGTTTAGATACGTCTTAATTGCCTCTACATCAACGCTTCACACTCGTATATGGAGGGTTCTAGTGTATATAGGTTTGACTAACTCAGTGTACAATGTGCGACCATATCCTGCTGCGACCATGTTGTACGATGATCTTTTTGATAAATTTTCATCATTATCATTCTACAAAGATATTAATAAAATTTATTGATCAATTATGTTCATAAAATCAACAGAAAGACTAAATTTATGCAAAAGTAATTAACGCCTAAATTGACATATAAAAAAAAGTAACATGCAATCAAGATTAAGAAAATTTTTCGTGAATTGTATTCTTAATTTGTTTGAAATAGTTTCAGACACGTTGCAAAATGGGGGAAGGTGCACCAATTAATATATTTGTTGTTCATGGAAACAAATTACTTCATCATTTGGCAATACATCATTAATACGTGTATTAATACATCAATAAACGAAAACCCATTCAAATAAAATGTATGATTATTAAATTTAAATTCAAAATTCATAGCATGGAAGTTGAAATAAATTCTATATCCGCTTTGAATCAGAGTTTGTAGACATGCAATTTAAATGAAATTAACAAAAGCTACAAAATTTTGGCCGACAACCCGAGAAAGCGAGAGTTGAATTACATGACTTAGCTGTCGAGAATAGACTTACTATTGCTGACTAGCTTCCATCTCTATAACAAATTAGATGAGCTTGTCTGTCAAGTTGAGATAATATAAGATAAGCCAACATGAGAAGACGCTTAAATATTAGCAAGTTTATACCTGGGCCTGCTCAGAATATATATTTATGCAATTTGGAAATCCGGTATCTCGAGTGCTGGCATCCTGAATCCTATAACATTCCGAATCCCGTCATTCCCAATAATTTCCGATCTTACGTACGTTATTTAAATGAAATAATGGCCTTCTCCAAGCAGCGTTATTCTTGGAACTCTCATTAAACTTTTAGTTTTAAATAAAAAATGAGACTTACGTTTGTTAATCTTAAATGAAATTTCAACTTAAACAAATGAATAAAAAATCACATTTTTTCACTTTATACTCCACCCTCCACCCTTTGTTTTGCATTACCTCGTGACTCAAGCAGCGAGAATCACATTTCAGGTCCGGGCAACAGCCGCGGTATTGTGGATACGCACTAGACCGACGGCCGCTGCAGGGCGCCTGCAGGCTTCAAACGTTCCAAATTATCTCATAACAAACGCTATTTTAATTCACTAATGTACTGCTCTAACCGCGCATGTTGCACACATATATGAAGTAAAGATGGGCAATCGAGGGTAGTTTTCTGCAACTCAAGAAACTGATTATTTATCGTATGCCGAACAGGTCGAAATCTTGCAATATCCGACTATTCACCATTAACGTTAAACCTGTACGATATGTAGCGTCACTGTGCGCGTTGTGATGTGTAGCGTCGCTATGCACAAAATATTTCGGTTGAATATATTTCGGCTGCCATGCCGTTGTAGCAGTCATGAGTGAATGGACGTGCCGTTGCAAGACAAATATTATTGATAAAATATTAAACAAGGCTTTCAACAGATAATGAGTCACACTCAGGTAATTATAAACAATTCAACATATGCGCACATGGAGATTAACAGAGTAATTTCAAGTAAGTCAACGG